CAGGAGGGAAAGGCCCTCTATGAGGGGGATTGATTCAGTGACTGGGATAATCAGGATGGGAGTGTCAGAGACAGTGCGATTGGCACAGGACAGAGCAGAGTTTAGGGCTGTTGTACAGAGGGTTGCTATGAGTTGCAGGCGACTCGACGGCACATAACAACAACAACAGCAAAAAAGTAAAGCTATACTTATTAGAAAATTACAACCCCAAAGGGAAAGACCTCCTTCCTTGATAGGAGGAGAGGCCAAAATTGTTCATTTCCCTTTTCTTGTCTTTGTTTTGGCTTCTTTAAATTCTAGGGCAGTATTAGGGCTCTTTGTGCATACATTTTAGTCTTTCTCTCTAAAATTTAAGCAACAACCACTAAAGTCAAAGATGAGGAACTGATGATTTCTATTGACTTTTGCTGTCTGAAATTGATCAGATATGCAACCAAGATGCACTGGTTAATAATCACTGGGGAGTGGAATAAAAAAGTTTCACTGGTGAGTGGAATAAAAAAGTTGGAAACAAAGATCAGTAGTTAGAAAATATAGCTTTGGTGATAGTAAGAGGCTAGAGGTGTAATGACTGAATTTTGTACAAGAAATTATTTATACATTGCAAATACCTTTTTAAAAACATACAAGCAAACACATTAACAGTGACTATCTTTAGGTAAATGTGGAGTCTCCCAAAGCCGCGCACGATCTGTTCTAAGGCTGCATAGAGGGAGGAAGAAAGCAATCCCAACAGGCAGGTAAGAAAGGCACCAAGGCACCCTGAAACCTTCCGCCCACATTTTCAGGACACATCGCATTTGCTTGGAAAGCATTGCCACTGAACTTAAGAGACACTGGTCACAGCATAAGAAACTGTCAGAAGCCAACGTATTTGGAATCACAGAAGCCAAGGACGCTTCAGATATTAGATATCAGATCAAGGGCGGGACAACCGAAGATGGATGTTGAAGGGAGTGGGTAGAAGTGAATGGGTGTCCTGGCGGATGGGGGAGCAGGGAAATAAGTGAGTAAAGACATATGTGCCAAGGGCAAGGACAACACTGATATGAATGGTTAAATCCACAATAAGGGACATATCTTTCACTTTTCTGTAAAACCTTGGTCTGTCTGATACTTCTCTAAATCTGAACATTCACATTAAGACAGACTAGGAAGAAGGATTGGCCATCCACTTTTGAAATAGCAGGCCTCTGAAAACCC